AAGAAGAATGCAGTTATGCAGACAACCAGAGGATGAGCAGAACAGAGAGTTTTGTTGAATGGTGGAACAGTTCTCAGGAGAGGGGACCCAAAGTGGGCAGCTGTCTACCCAAAGTTGGGTAGTCCCCCGCTGAGGTCCCCCACCATGCACAGCCTGTAATTTTATGTTTGACATGGCATTCATTTTTCATGTCCCTCTAACACACCCAGACTATCTGTCTGCATTTTGAGATGTAAATTTTGCTACCTGATTTTTCACTTAAGCATTCTGCCTTTGATATGTGAATTTGGGGCTATGTAGCTGAAAATTGCCTAGGACAGTGAAACAGGTTATCAAGAAGATGGAAGCTTAGTTTAAGCACATTGGTTCATGCCTATAATCCAAGCACTTAGGGAGGCCAAGGTGGGTGGATCACTTGAGGTCAGGAGTTTAGGACCAGCCTGGCCAACATGTTGAAACCCTGTCACTACTAAAAATATAAAAATTAGCTGGGCATAGTGGCAGGTGCTAGTAATCCCAGGTACTTGGGAGGCTGAGGCAGGAGAATCACTTGAACCCAAGAGGTAGAGGTTGCAGTGAGCTGAGATTGTGCCACTGCACTCCAGCCTGGGAAACAGAATGAGACTCCATCTCAAAAAAAAAAAAAAAAAAAAAAAAAAAAAAAAGGCCGGGCGCGGTGGCTCAAGCCTGTAATCCCAGCACTTTGGGAGGCCGAGGTGGGTGGATCACGAGGTCAAGAGATCAAGACCATCTGGTCAACATGGTGAAACCCCATCTCTACTGAAACTACAAAAAATTAGCGGACAGGTGGGCCGGGCGCGGTGGCTCAAGCCTGTAATCCCAGCACTTTGGGAGGCCGAGGCGGGTGGATCACGAGGTCAAGAGATCAAGACCATCCTGGTCAACATGGTGAAACCCCGTCTCTACTAAAAATACAAAAAATTAGCTGGGCATGGTGGTGCGTGCCTGTAATCCCAGCTACTCAGGAGGCTGAGGCAGGAGAATTGCCTGAACCCAGGAGGCGGAGGTTGTGGTGAGCCGAGATCGCGCCATTGCACTCCAGCCTGGGTAACAAGAGCGAAACTCCGTCTCAAAAAAAAAAAAAAAAAAAAAAAAAAATTAGCTGGGCATGGTGGTGCGTGCCTGTAATCCCAGCTACTCAGGAGGCTGAGGCAGGAGAATTGCCTGAACCCAGGAGGCGGAGGTTGTGGTGAGCCGAGATCGCGCCATTGCACTCCAGCCTGGGTAACAAGAACGGAACACCAACTCAAAAAAAAAAAAAAGGAAAGAAATTGGAAGTTTAAAATACTAGAAAAAAAGAAGGGGTCTTGTGAATCTTCTGTATAGCTGATACAACTATGTATTTATGTGTAACGTATACAATGTTTCACTACCAGAAATATACAAAAGGCCTTTAATTAATCGGCTTAAAGGAAAGAAAGCACTTACATCAAATACTGTATCAGAAAAATGGAAACTTTCACTCAAATGCCTTTTCAAATTTATGTGACTTAAGTAAATCCTTAATAAATAAGCTGGTTTTAACAGTATTGGTAAAATAAAATTAGAAGTGTCTTCAGAATTATCAACATACATTATTGTTTAGATTTATTGGTCAAGGAGTTTAATATTTATCACTACATATTATAAATTGTCAAAATTTGGCATGAGGGTTACAAAGCTTGCAACCCAAAAGAGAAAATTATATTTGCGTAATTTTCCAATAAGTAAGGTATTTAATATTGTTTCATGAAAAGTGCTAAATTCTGAGGTATTGGCTGTTGATATTCACTTGGGGTGGTTGGCAAAATATTAAAGATATATTAGGAAAAGTTATAGATTAGTCTCAAAGCTTTTGGAAGGCCAAAAGGCTTTATTGGAGCCGGCCAAATGTGGCCAGTTGTTCCACTAAGTTAGGGAGAAAACAGGAATGAGGCTTTTCTAATTCAGTCTGTTTACCCCATGTCGCGTTCTCTACTCTGTTAACTCATGTAAACTTTGTGCTGAATAGTCCTCTCGGGGAGGTAAAAGGAGAACCACCCATTAATAATGTTTACCCAGAGCCTGGAAACTAAAGCTTTTATCATTCATAAAACCACTCTTTTAACCATGTTAATTATACACAAGCGTGTTGACTTAGAACTGCTGTTAGGAATAAATGTGTGGATGGACAGAGGGTCTTGGTCAATGGGTTGCATTTCGCCCTCTGAAAGCAGCCAACAGCCACCCCTAGCCCACTTGTATGACTATAATGGCGTGAGAGCGCATTCATTCATCCATGGTAGAGTCAGGGTCTGCAGGCCAGACTTCACAGGTGGTGGTCGACGTCTCAATTGGCATTAAAAAAAAAAAGAAAAAAGAGAAATATTTGTTTAACCATAAGGTTCTTACTTAGATAAAAACCTGAAATTCACAGGCTATAAAAATGGTTAGTCCAGGCACAGTGTCTCATGTCTGTAACTCTAACATTTTGGGAGGCTGAGATGGGTGGATCACCTGAGGTCAGGAGTTTGAGACCAGCCTGGCCAACATGGTGAGAAAAGTCTCTACTAAAAATACAAAAATTAGCCAGGCGTGGTGGTGGGCACCTAAAATCCCTGCTACTCAGGAAGCTGATGCAGGAGAATCACTTGAACCCTGCAGGCAGAAGTTGCAGTGAACTGAGATTGCACCATCGCACGCCAGCCTGGGCAAAAAGAGTGAAACCCCAGCACACGCACCAGTAAAAGGTTAACAGAGAAATAATTTTAAATGAAGAATGCCACAGTATTTTTTGTTTTTCTTTTTTTTTTTTTCTGTAGTCAAGAAAACATTTATTTGTGTCCTTTCTCAGAAGATGAGTGGAAATGTTTTTCTTTTTTTGACGTGGAGTCTCACTCTGTTGTCCAGGCTGGAGTGCAGGTGGTGCGATCTTGGCTCAATGCAATCTCTGCCTCCTGGGTTCAAGTGTTTGTCCTGACTCAGCCTCCCAGGTAGCTAGGATTACAAGTATTTGCGAACAGGAATGGCAATTTAAAAAAATGTTTTTAGTAGAGACAGGGTTTCACCAAGTTGGCCAGGCTGCTCTTGGAACTCCTGACCTCAGGTGATCCGCCCAACTTGGCCTCCCAAAGTGCTGGGATTACAAGTGTAAGCCACTGTGCCTAGCCTATCACAGTTTTCTTAAGTAATCTAGGTAAACTATTTTTAAAATTAGGTAAACGTAATGGAATAAATACTTGTAAATAAGCTTGTTATAATTTCAAATCAAAGGTTATGTTAAATACTAGATACCCATTAAATGTCTAGCTCATTTCTAATTTTTCTTAAAAACAATTATATTTGGCTGGGCGTGGTGGATCATGCCTGTAATCCCAGCACTTTGGGAGGCTGAGGTGGGTGGATTACCAGAGGTCAGGAGTTCAAGACCAGACTGGCCAATATGGTGAAACTCCATCTCTCCTAAAAATACAAAAATTAGCTGGGCTTAATGGCACATGCATTACTCAGGAGGCTAGGGCAGGAGAATCACTTGATCCTGGTAGCAGAGGTTGCAGTGAGCCAAGATTGTGCCACTGCATTCCAGCCTGGGCAACAGAGCAAGATTCTGTCTCAAAAAATATAAATTTCAGGAAAAGATTTTTCTAATAAAGTTTTTATTAAAAGGAAATAGGCCAGGCACAATGGCTCACACCTATAATCCCAGCACTTTGGGAGGCTGACACAGGTGAATCACTTGGAGTCAGTAGTTCCATACCAGTCTGGCCAAGATGATGAAACCCTGTCTCTACTAAAAATAGAAAAGTTAGCCTGGGATGGATGGTGACACATGCCTGTAATCCTAGCACTTTGGTAGGCTGACCTGGGTGGATTGCTTCAGCACAGGAGTTTGAGACCAACCTGGGCAACATAGTGAGACCTTGTCTTTTAAAAAATAGAGATGTAAAGATAGTTATAAGGAGGTATTTTTAGTAGGAACAGTTAAAAGGAAAATAAATTGATATGAGAAAGAATATTGTATGGTAAATTTTTGTCCTAAAATGGCTAGTTATTTTGAAAAGAGGGATGGTCATGATTAAAACAGGAAGTCCCAGTATATCATAAATGGTTTATGTAAGTTGTGATAGTTTGTAAAAAAGATGATTTTTTTTTTTTTTTTTTTGGGAATAGTTAACGCTGTTGTTGCCCAGGCTGGAGTGAAGTGGTGTGATCTCAGCTCACTGCAACCTCCACTTCCCGGGTTCAAGTGATTCTCCTGGCTCAGACTCCCAAGTAGCTGGGATTATAGATGCACACTACCATGCCAGGCTGATTTTTGTTTATATATATATATATATATATATATATATATTTTTTTTTTTTTTTTTTTTAATAAAGACGGGGTTTCACCATGTTGGTCAGGCTGGTCTTGAACTCCTGACCTCAGGTGATCCACCCGCCTTGGCCTCCAAAGTGCTTGGATTACAGGCATGATCCAGCACACCTGGCCGATTTTTGTATTTTTAATAGAGATGGAGTTTTACCATGATGGTCAGGTTGGTCACAAACTCCTGACCTCAGATGATCCACCCACCTTGGCTTCCCAAAGTGCTGGGATTACAGGCGTGAGCCACCATGCCTGCTGAGAATTATTTTTTTTTGAGATGGAGTCTTGCTGTGTCACCCAGACTGGAGTGCAATGGCACAATCTTAGCTCACTGCAACCTCTGCCTCCCTGGTTCAAGCGATTCTTCTGCTTCAGCTTCCACAGTAGCTAAGATTTAGGCACCTGCAAACAGGCCTGGCTAAATTTTGTATTTTTTAGTACAGACGGAGTTTCCCCATGTTAGTCAGGCTGGTCTCAAATTCCTGGACACAGGTGTAATTTAAATATCTCCTAAAGGCTCCAGGATGTAAATGAAATATCAGAACTCAGAAGGGGAGGCATTTTATTTTCTCTAGGGGCCAATGCAATAGGGTTGTGCAGTGGGGAAGAGACATTGGACTCAACTCCCCATCTTCCTTTTTTTCTTATTTTTAAAAATTATATAGAATGTTTCACAAATTTGTGTGTCATCCTCGTGCAGAGGCCAAGCTAATCTTCTCTGCATTGTTCCCATGTTAGTGTATGTCCTGCCAAAGTGAGCATTATTTTTTTTATAGAGACAGGGTCTCGCTCTGTTGTCCAGTCTGGTCTCGAACTTCTGGCCTCAAGCAATCCTCCTGCCTCAGCCTCCTAAAGTGCTGGGATTACAGGTGTGAGCCTGGCCTCAACTCCCTCATTTTCTACATGCTGATCAAAACCTCCATCTGAGTGGAGTAGATTTGGCTATGGGCAATGGTTTGAGCCCTGCTAGCTCAACTGAATTTCAACAGTGGAGCCAGATTAGAGGACGTGCTGCCTGTCCCTGACCCTGGACCTAGGCATCAACAGTGTTTCCTAAACATTCCACGTCGACTTTTCTTCCACCTTCCAGGGTTGGGCTGTGAGAGAAACTGGAGAGGCAGGTGCCTGTGAGAGCGGCTTCTGTCAGCCTGGGGTCAGGTCTTCCATGAGTGAGGGGAGGTATCTGCTTTTGCTGCATGTCAGAGACTGCTGACATAGCTGTCTCTTCCCACCCAGAAGCTAAGCTTGAATGACACCCCCTCACAGAGCTCCTCTCCTGTCTTTCTCTTGCTCCTGCTTACTTCTGTCACAGAGCTTGACAGCATGGATATCAGCACTTGTTTCCTTCAGTTTCCTGAAGCCCCCATGTCCTCAGAACAGAGGAGGCACCCAATGCCTGCAGAAGCCCACATCCCTCACCAGGGACCAAGTGACCTAACCCTCACCTGGAGGACCTTCACCTTCACCTCTCACCTGGAGGATGCACTCACCTGGAGGACCCCCCTCACCTTGGGGACCCCCTCCCACCTGGAGGATCCTCTCACCTGGACAACCTTCACCTGAAGGACCCCCCTACCTGTAGAACCTCCCCACCGGAAGGACCCCTCACCTGAGGGACAGGCCCCCCCACCTAGAGGATCCTCCCACCTAGAGAATCTTCACCTGGAGACCTTCTCATCTGAAGGACCCCCGCCAAAAAAAAAACTGGAGAACCTCCCCACCTGAAGGTCTCCCACTTGGGGGACCCTGTCACCTGGAGGACCCCCTAACCTGGAAGACCTTCACCTGGATAATCGCCATGACCTCCCACTCTGGCGCAGCCTGGTCAGGTGCCCGGGCTTCATCATAAAATAAGGCCCGAACCGCAGCAATCCGAGCAGGTCCCCGGAGCTGAGCGCCTAAGACTGACCCGCGGGAGCGTCTCTTGGTAACCGTTGCCAAGGAGGGGAGGCCCGGTAAAGAGCTTTTGCGCCTGCGCTGCGTGGCTGTCCGCGTCTGCGCCTGCGCGCACGGCAGGCGGGGCCGGCGCTCAGCATGGCGGAGCCTGACTCGGAGTCGGAGCACATCCGTCTGAAGTGTATTCGTAAGGAGGGCTTCTTCACGGTGCCTCCAGAACACAGGGTGCGCGGGGTGCCATCCGGGCAACTCTACCCGCCTCGCTCGCGGTAGTGCCCGGCCGGGCGCGGGGACTGTCGTGTCGCGTTGCTGCGCGGAGGCTTCCGGCACGGGCGGGAACGACATTCCCAGTTTCCCCGCGGCTGGGGCTGAAGCCGGCGCGGGGGCGGGAGCTCGGGACCACGGGACCCCGTTAGCTGAGCCTTGGGGGTCTCCGGGGGCCGGGCGGGCTCAGGGGCGCCTAGCGCCACGGACGGACGGGCCCGCGCCCTGGGAAGAGCAGGCTCCGGGATCCAGCTCGGGCGCCGCTGAGCTCTGCGTGCTGGCTGGGCTTTGCAGGCCGAGCCGCGAGCCGCACGCGTAGCGGCAGAATTGACTCGCGCGGCGAGTTGGAGCTTCGAGGCTCCCGCTGGGCCTGGGCTGCATCGAGCGGGCGCCAGCGCTGCCTGGTGGCTTCACGCTAGTCCTGGTTCGCAGCCAGTGACGAGGTGTCTGTGCCTCCCTATGCAGAGAGGAGAGAGCCTCGGGGCGTGGGGCGATGCTGCCGAGGTGCGCGGCTGGCGGGGGCGCAGGGGCTTGAAGTTTGGCCGCTGGGTGGGTGGTTTAACTGCTGCCTGATGCTGAGAGGCCATGTGTCCAGTAAGAATCGTTAGCAGATCGTGGCTGGATGACAGCACGAGCTACACAGGCCTTGGCTGCTCCTGGTACCTTTTTCAGACGTGCAGCAAGCGCTCCCCGAGTTGAGAGCTCTGTGCTGGACGCTGGGGTGAAGCAGTGAGTTGGCATTTCTTTTTTTTGTTTTTTTCCAGATACGGTCTTGCTCTGTTGCCCAGGCTAGAATACAGTGGAGTGATCCCGGTTCAGTTCGTCGTCGGCCTCCTGGGCTCAAGTGATCTTCCCGCCTAGGCCTCCCAAAGTATAACAGGCATGAGCCACTGCGTCCAGCGTGGCATGGCATTTCTTTGGGGTTAGGAAGTGTGGCTAGAATTTGGACACCCAGAAATAAGGGTGGCACAAAGAGCACACGCCGAGAGGATGTGAGAGGGGGATTAAGGCCGGAAAGGGAGGTTGAGGTGACACTGTGGAAGAGTGGCAGGCTAGATGATTGTGACTTGGCCCCCAGGTGTCAGGAAGTAATAAGACTGAGGACAGCGCCGGCCAGTGGCTCACACCCGTAGCCTCAGCAGTCTGGGATGCCGAGGTGGGAGGACTGCTTGAGCCCAGGTTTGAGAGCAAGGGTAGGGTTAAGAGAAGGAAGCCAGAAAGTAGGGGCTGTTAGAATTCCAACCTTGCCACATGGACGTCTTACGGGGAAGAGTGCAGACTCTGCTACAACACAGACCCCAAAGTACACTGGCTCAGGTAAGAGGGTGCTTTTTCTCACCCTCCTCTAACATTCTGGAGAGAAGCAGTTGTTCTGCACAAGTGGGCCAGGCATTCTGGTTCCATCTGTCTTCCTGTGGCTGAGGGGAGGAGAAGTGGGTGGTTCCAGTTTCCTTTCATCTGGAAGTCACACGGTCCCTTCAGCTCACATCCCGAGGCCAGCTGCCACAGGGTAGTGTTTTATAACTTCAAGGAAGTAGTGACATACGGATGCTGGGATAGCAGCCCTGCCACAGATGTATTTTTGCATGTGGGATTGAAAGGGAGTAGTTGAGTGGCTGCCTCTGATATTTCTTTCAAAGTGTTGGCCCAGTATCGTCACCACCTCTTCTCATCAGGAAAGCCCAAGAGGCTGGGCACAGTGGCTCACACCTGTAATCCCCACACTTTGGGAGGCCGAGGTCAGGAGCTTGAGACCAGCCTGGCCAACATGGTGAAACCCCATCTCTACTAAAAATACAAAATTAATCAGAGTAGTGGCACACGCCTGTAGTCCCAGCTACTCAGGAGGCTGAGGCAGGAAAATCACTTGAACCCAGAAGGCAGAGGTTGCAGTGAACCAAGATTGTGCCACTGCACTCCAGCGTGGGTGACAGAGCGAGACTCCATCTCAAAAAAAGAAAAAAAGTTTAAAAAAAAGCCCAAGCATGTAGTTGCCTTTCTGTTTGGTGAGCAAGACCTGGGCGGGCTGCCTGCTACAAATTACCTTTGAAATACCCATCCTAAGTTGTTTGATCAGCTGTCAAATTTCCACACTCGCAACACCCCTTTCTTTCAGCTGGGGCGATGCCGGAGTGTGAAGGAGTTTGAGAAGCTGAACCGGATTGGAGAGGGCACCTACGGCATCGTGTGTGAGTGGCCAAGGCTGGTGGCTGTGACAATGTGGGACGAGAGCGTTGGGGCTGGAAGGGATTCATACCCTGTGCTCTGAACCAGGGCAGAAACTTGTTAAGGAAGTTTAATTCCTGGTGTGATTATTGCAAGCGTTGTTCCATTTCTGGATAAATGTAAGCATCAGGTTGCTAATACCCATAATCCAGTGTGTGTCACTGCAGAGTAGGGTGAACCATTAGAGAAATAAAATGCAGAACTTTCCAAAAGTATCTGGAGGTGGACACAGTACTCATGTCAATAACCTCAGCCACTCTCGAGGAGTCCCCTGAGCCCAGGTGTTTTTTGCGAGATGGGTCTTGCCCTAGCGCCCAGGCTGGAGTCCAGTGACGTAATCATACCTCACTGCAGCCTCGACCTCCCAGGCTCTAGCGATCTTCTCGCCTCAGCCTCCTGAGTAGCTGGGACCACAAGCGTGCACCACCACACCAGCTTATTTTTCAATGGGATTTCCTTATATTGACTGGGTTGGTCTTGAAGTCCTGGGCTCAAATGATCCTCCTGCCTCAGCCTCCCAAACACTGGGATTACAGGTGTGAGCCACTGACCCGGCCAAGCGCAGGAGTTGGAGGCTGCAGTGAGCTGCCATCATGCCACTGCACTCTAGCCATAGTAACAGAGTGAGGCCCTGTCTCAAAAAGAAAAAACAGTGGCTCACACCTGTAATCCCAGCACTTTGGGACGCCGAGGCGGGTGGATCATGAGGTCAAGACATCGAGCCATCCTGGCAAACGTAGTGAAACCCTATCTCTGCTAAAATATAAAATTAGCCGGGCGTGGTGGCATGTGTCTGTAATCCCAGCCACTCAGGAGGCTGAGGCAAGAGAATTGCTTGAACCCAGGAGGCGGAGGTTGCAGTGAGCTGAGATCACGCCATTGCACTCCACCCTGGTGACAGAGTGAGGCTCTGTCTCAAAAAAAAAAAAAGAAAAAAGAGAGGCTGGGCGTGGTGGCTCATGCTTGTAATCCAAGCACTTTGGAAGCCAAGATGGGTGGATCACCTGAGGTCGGGAGTGCAAGACCAGCCTGACCAACATGGTGAAACCCCGTCTTAAATTAAAAAAAAAAAAAAGAAGAGAAAAAACCACACCACACAACTGACGCTTACAATGGCTATGAAATTGTAGCGTTATCTTCACACAAAATAAGGTTGACTTTTTTCTACACGTAATACCTTATTTGCTTTTAGGAGATTACAAGAGAGCACACAGCAGTGGTCTGTGTGCTGAGAAGGAGGACACGGAGAGCCTGGAGCCACAGAACTGAGTGGCTGGAGCCAGGTCCTGCACAGAACAGGGCACCCCCCCTCCCCCAGGTCAAATGAAGAAATCCCCCAGGGAGCATGTGTCTTGGGCTAGAGCTGTTGCACAGAGTGAGAATTGAGTGTCTCTGGCATGAGGTTGTCAGAGGAAAGAAAGGGCACCCCTGCGGCTGAGGGAGAGGCTCCTGTGCGGCTAGGGAGCCCACGAGGGTACCGACGGGACGTCATCATAGATGCGTTTCCACTGCAGATCGGGCCCGGGACACCCAGACAGATGAGATTGTTGCGCTGAAGAAGGTGCGGATGGACAAGGAGAAGGATGGTGAGCAGACGGGGTGCTGGGACCTCACGGGGAGGAGGTGGGAAGGCGTGAGTTACCTGAACCCTCCTGAGTGCAACTGCACCATGACTGGAGGGGCCAGCCTCTGGGAGGGTTCTGCTGTGGCCCAGCGTGTCACCTCTCAGGTCCGCACTCGGCCCCAGATCTCTGCCAGGGGGGCTTTGTGGTCTGTATCCCCTCTTCTCCCTCCTGTCCGGTGAGCCCACCTCCCTGCAGGCTCAGCTTTGCTGGCCCCTCTACCCCCAGCACCTGCCCTGTCCCCAGATGAATGTCCACAGTGGTTAGAGAGGTGCCACTTTGTATTTGGTCAAGGAAGAGTTAAAAGTGCTTACTGGGGTCGCCCTGATTCTCCCTGAAGTGGGGACAACTTTAGCACCTGGTATCAGGTGCCCCCTACCCTGTGGTCACTGGGTGGGGCTCACTGAGGCCGCCTCCCTCTCCAGGCATCCCCATCAGCAGCCTGCGGGAGATCACACTGCTGCTCCGCCTGCGCCACCCGAACATCGTGGAGCTGAAGGAGGTGGTTGTGGGGAACCACCTGGAGAGGTGCGCGGTCTCCTGGTCTGCGTCGGGCCCCAGGGAGCATGTGTGTTGGGCTAGAGGCATTGCACAGAGTGAAGACTGAGCGTCACTGGGCATGAAGTTGTCAGACAAGAGGTGACCCCACCTCACCGCCTGGCTTGGCCCCCATTGTCTGAGGGGGACACAGGTTGTCCTGCCTATGTTCCGTCCTGCAGAAGGGGAGGTCCACTTTGACCCCGTGGGAGAAGGCAGAAGGGTGGCATGCATCTTCTGTTTCTTCCAGCATCTTCCTGGTGATGGGTTACTGTGAGCAGGACCTGGCCAGCCTCCTGGAGAATATGCCAACACCCTTCTCGGAGGCCCAGGTGCGTGGCAGAGGGGGCTCAGGATGGGGGGATGGGCCTCATGGGCCCTTGTGGTGCACATTCGTAACACATAGGGCCACCTGGGGACTGGTAGAGCGCTGCTGCTGCTGCTTCTGCTTCTGCCTCCAGTGTTTCAACGAGCTGAAATTCCATGAGGGGAAATCCTGTTGGGGGGGCAATTGCCGGGAGTGGGCAGCCCCGGGCTGAGAGCCTTGTAAGGGTGCTGGTTTCCCGGGCTGTTGTGGTGATGGCTCCCCTGCAGGTTGACCCTGACTGGTACCTCTGACCTCTGACCCTCTGCACAGGTCAAGTGCATCGTGCTGCAGGTGCTCCGGGGCCTCCAGTACCTGCACAGGAACTTCATCATCCACAGGTGGGTGGAGCCAGGCAGAGGTGGAAGCACCACTTCCTTTGAGGCCTGACTGCTGCCTCCTGAGCAAAGTTAGATGATCTCGGGGTTCCCAGCTGTCACAGCTTGCCCACTGCTTGCACTCCACTGGTATTTTTTCTAAAATAGACATGGAGTCTCTCTGTGTTGCCCAGGCTGCTCTCAAACTCCTGGGCTCAAGCGATCCACCCACCTTGGCCTCCCAAAGTACTGAGATTACAAGTGGGAGCCAACTTCCCTGGCCATGCACTCCTCATTTTTTTTTTGATACAGAGTCTTGCTTTGTCACCAGGCTGGAGTTCAGTGGTGCCATCTTGTCTCGCCGCAACCCCCACCTCCCAAGTTCAAACAATTCTTCTGCCTCAGCCTCCCAATTAGCTGGGATTACAGGTACATGCTACCATGCCCAGCTAATTTTTTGTAGTTTTTTTAGTAGAGATAGGGTTTCACCGTGCTGGTCAGGCTGGTCTCAGACTCCTGACCTCATAATCCGCCCACCTCAGCCTTCCAAAATGCTGGGATTACAGGTGTGAGCCACCATGCCCAATCTTTTTGTTTTGAGACAGAGCCTCACTCTGTCACCAGGCTGGAGCCCAGTGGCATGATCTTGGCTCACTGCAACATGTGCCTCCTGGGTTCAAGTGATTCTCCTTCCTCAGACTCCCACGTAGCTGGGACTATAGCTGTCTTTATTTTTAATAAAGATGGGATTTCACATGAGGGCCAGGATGGTCTCAATCTCTTGACCTTGTGATCCGCCTGCCTCAGCCTTCCCAAGTGTGGGGATTACAGGCATGAGCCCCTGTGCATTGCCCGCTCCCATTCTTAAAAGGCCCAAACATTAAGAGCATGTGTGAGTTAATGAAAAAATAAATAAAGATACTAAAAAGCTGAAGCATGAGGAAGTGTGCAGGAAGTATGTGGGCATTGGTGCCGTGGGGAAGATCTGATCCCCCAGGTGGCCCTGGCTGTCCGGGAACCACCGCCACTGTCTTTCCATCACAGGGACCTGAAGGTCTCCAACTTGCTCATGACTGACAAGGGCTGCGTGAAGACAGGTGGGTGCAGCTCTTGCAAGCCCCGTCCCCACGTGGCAGCTCGTCAGTCCTTGCTCGACGACACTCACTCCTCTTTCTGCTGTAGCGGATTTTGGCCTGGCCCGGGCCTATGGCATCCCAGTAAAGCCGATGACCCCCAAGGTGGTCACTCTCTGGTGAGTTCCTTGAAAGCATGGTGGCCCCTGGGGACCAGGCATGCCTGGGGGACCGCTCCTTGGGGATGTCAGGCTGAAGTGGCAGATGGGCCTTGAGAATCTTAAGCTATAGGGCCTGTGCACACTTGTAAACGCTGGGTCTGGGACAGCCTCCCAGGAAACAGCAGGGCTGTCCCAGGAAATGGTGAGAGCCGGGCATAGTGGCACCAAGGGACCTGCCCAGGTGAGACACACCTTGGCCTGAGGTAGCCAGAAACACAGCGTGGCCGTGAATCTGTCTGTGGGAAGGAAGGTTGCTTCACAGGCTAAAGGGTGGGCAGCTTGTGTCCTGCTTCTGGTTCTTCCTCCAGGACAGTTGTAGCAGGCCAGACAGGGTCATGCTTAGCACGGGCTGAACGTCAGGGTTGGTCAGACCCAGGTCCCGACCCACGTGCTGTGTGGTCCCCGTCAGAATGGGCTGGTGGTGGCTGGTGTGGCTGTGTGCTAAGGGCCATGGTCCTGGAGACTCTCAGGACATAGCTGCGCGGGATGGCTCTCGCCACCAGCAGCTGTTGCTGTGTGGGCCACCTGGATTGCAGGGCTTGGGGCAGAGGGTGGTCCCACCTGGAGTACTTTCCAGGCCTGCAGGCTCTCAGGGAGGCCGTGTCCTGTGGAGGCCGGGGCTGGGGGACAGAGCTGGCCATACTGAGGTGGTGTTTCTGTGTGCAGGTACCGAGCCCCTGAGCTGCTGCTGGGAACCACCACGCAGACCACCAGCATCGACATGTGGTGAGTGCCTGCAGCCTCAGGAAGGGCGGGGACAGGAGCTGGGTCACCTGGTCCCTGAGCTCAGCCTCAGGGGAGGAGCAGGAGTGCAGTAGGGTCTTTGCCAGCCTCCCACTCCCAGGGAGGTAGGCCTGAGCCTGGGAACCCAGGAGGAAGTGTGAGAACTTAGCTTGCTGTTGCCAGGCCTGGAGCACCGAGGTCCGCAGGAGGGACGCTTGCCCCTGCCAGTGTCAGCCTGGGAGGCCTGCAGGGCCCAGGAGGGGAGCCCATGGTCGCTGCCTGTCCTCAGTGCCCTTGACCCAGCCTTGCACTGGTGGGGTCAGCAGAGGTCTGACTGCAGTGAGGTCCTCTGTTCCTCATGCTATTGGGGTCAGCAGAGGTCTGACTACAGTGAGGTCCCATTTGCCTTGTGCTGTTGGGGTCAGCAGAGGTCTGGCCGCAGTGAGGTCTCCTGTTCTCTGCAGGGCCGTGGGCTGCATCCTGGCCGAGCTGCTGGCCCACAAGCCCCTTCTCCCCGGCACTTCCGAGATCCACCAGATTGACTTGATCGTGCAGCTGCTAGGGACGCCAAGTGAGAACATCTGGCCGGTGGGTGTCCTGGGCACCCCGCAGCCCCCTGCCCGTGCCCATGCCCGTGCCCTCTGCGCCTCAGCTCCTGCCTCCCGTAGGGCTTTTCCAAGCTGCCGCTGGTTGGCCAGTATAGCCTTCGGAAGCAGCCGTACAACAACCTGAAGCACAAGTTCCCATGGCTGTCGGAGGCCGGGCTGCGCTTGCTGCACTTCCTGTTCATGTACGACCCTAAGAAAAGGTGCTGATGCCTGCACGGGTCCAGGGACACCCACCACCCACATTCTGGGGAGACAGTTTCCCAGAGCCTAGCCCACTGCCGCAGAGACGCCCTCCCCAGGCACACACCCACTCGAATTGGCTTCTGGCCGCCCATCCTGCCTTTGAGAATCTGGATCATGGGCTGCTCCACCGGGTGGGAGGTGAGGAAGCCAGATTCACCGTCCAGTCACGCACGCTGCCTTCCTCCAGGGCGACCGCTGGGGACTGCCTGGAGAGCTCCTACTTCAAGGAGAAGCCCCTGCGTGAGTGTCTGGCTTCCTCAGGCCTGCTTGGGAGGGCTTGGCTGGGAGCCCTTTGCCCGGGGTGGGTGGTGGAGAGCTGTCCTGGTGCCGTCCCTGAGCACATGCCCTCTCTGGGGTAAGAGGACGGGGACATGGAGGTGCAGACAGCCCAGGGCCAGGTCAGGAGGCAGTGCCGGACTCAGACCTGGGCCTGCTGCCTGCCAGCCCTGAACTGCCCTTCTCCCTACAGCCTGTGAGCCGGAGCTCATGCCCACCTTTCCCCACCACCGCAACAAGCGGGCTGCTCCGGCCACCTCCGAGGGCCAGAGCAAGCGCTGCAAGCCCTGACGGCGGGCCTGGCTCATGCCTGCATCCCGCAGCCAGATCTTCAGGTCGGCGGTGTCTGTGAAGGGTGCTGTGATCCAGACTCACCAGGCATCTGGGATCTGGCTGGTCCCCTTGACTGGGACCATCCTCCAGTGACCATCCCACTGTCTTCCCCTGAACCCACTGCTGCCCTAGAAACAAGGCTTGGATGCAGGGCAACACTTCAGGGGCTTCCAGCCTGTGCACCCTGGAAGGGTGGGTCTGGTAGCTTCGTCCCTAGATGCAGGGGTCTCATGCGGCTCTCCAGCCTCACTGTGTTGGAAGCATGGGACCCTGCTTCTTGGGAGGAGTGGCCAGTGCAGTTCCCTCTGGTGTCTTGGAGTCGTGGTGGACACCGGCTTGGGAGGAGCAGACCCCAGAAGACCACCTTCTCCTCTTTCAGTCGTCAGGAGCTGCCCCCTGCATGGGTCAGCTCTGGTGACCCCAGGTGGGCCTGCCAGGACTCCAGATGAGAACAAGAGGGACGAGGTGTGGTGTGCGGGCCACAAGTGAGGATGCCCCAGGAGAGCCCTGGGAAGGGGGCTCAGGTGCATCCCACTCCTCACACAGCGGCCCCAGCGCTGATGTTGAGAGGTTTGGTAGGCTCTGGTCGGATAAAAACTTTCTTAAAAGACATGGTTTCACCAGCATTTAATGTGCTCTGATGTCGACAGTGCCTTCTGAGTGTGCCAGGAGGAGAGGACTGGGGGTAGGGGCAGGAGAGCGGGCTCAGCTTTGGGGTCAGGGAGGTCACCCCAGAGGGCTGTCGCAGTGGATGTGCCTGGCCCTCCCTCACCGGACCCAAGAGGGTATTCAGGGCAGAGCCACTTCTGTCCAGCCTGTGGGCTGCACCCAAGGAAAGGGAGGGAAGGTCCTGTTACCACAGGACCCACCAAAACCAGGCGGACCTCCAAGGCCCCTCTGCCCAGTAGCAGTGACACTCAGGGCCTGCCTGGCTGTCAGCTGCTGCCCATTCCTGCAACTCTCAGGCACCTCCATGTCTGGGCCGAGGTCATTCCCTCTCTGTGAGCCCAGCTGATGTGACATCCAAGGGGAGGGCCAGTGTCCCCAAAGCCAGGTCAGCCATACACTCAGCAGAGCCCCCCAGATGGGCCCCAGCAGAGCTTGGGGGGGCCTTGGTGTCACCAACAGACCCTCGAGGACACTCCTGTGTGGAGAAGACCTGGGACCCCTGGAGGGCCCTGAAGTTCTGAGCCCTGCACTGCAGGGAGCCGGCCAGGAGCTGCCAGCCCTGGGGACAGGTTCAGGCACTGGCTAGAACAGGCTGGACCCCTCTACCCAGCACATGTGGACATGGGTCTGAGTTCCGAGGACAGAGAAATGTGGAAAGGTTCTGGCCTGCTGGCCAGCTGAGACCTATAGCCTTCCAAGCATTCCATATACAGGGTGAGTCCCGCCTCCAGCAGAGGCTGGCCTGGACCCTCAAAGCCCCAGGGACAAAGCAACCAGAGGTCCAGGCCGTAGGAGGCCCAGACCCCTCCCCAGGAAAGAGAAGCACCACGGGAGCTGTCTCCCAAGAGCCCTTGACCCGGGGCCCACCTGGCCTAGGGCCGGGCCCCGGGGCTGTTGAAGAGCAGGGTGTCCATGTGTGCACGCTGCAGCCACAAGCACCGCTGGGCATCGCCAAGCAGCACGCGCAGGGAGTGGCCGGGGCGGCAGGCGGGCAGGGCCGCGCAGTGTGCAGCATGCAGCTGGCGACACGTGTCGCAGCAGACGGTAGGCAGGGCACCAGGGGACAGGCAGCTGTGTGCCTGGTAGCCTGGGGGCTCAGAGACAGACCTGTAGGCTGAGGCTGGTACGCCCTCGGCCCGAATGCGCCTGGGGCTGGCCCCCGCAGAGCTTTCGGGAGTGGCCAGGTCTCCAGGCCTACTCAGCTCACTGCGCAGGGAGAGGAAGGAGAAGGCGGAGGATTCGGGTTCCAGCCCCTCCTCCAAGGCCCCGTAGGGTGGGGTGCTGGCCTGCGACAGCTCCTCAGCTGGGGGATCCCAGGCCCGGCCCTCAGGGCTCCACAGTTTGGCACTCTGCTCCCAGAGTGGCGGCCTGTAGGCCACCTCCGCCGAGGGCGAGTCGGGACCTGGTGATGGCTCCCCATAGAGGCTGGCATCCTCGGAGCCCTCATCCTCCTGCAGGTCCCGGTATAAGTCTAGTGGGGGCCTGTAAGCAGCAGGGGATCCTCGGGGGGGCAGGGGTGGCGGCTCCTCATCCTGGGCCAGCCGCTGCTGCAGCCAGGCCACACAGGAGGCCACATCCCCACTGGCACGCCGCGCCTGCAGCAGGTCCTCAGCTGGCAACACACTGGTGCCCAGCTGGGCCAGCACCTCACCCAGGATCTCACATTCCAGCCGGAGGGCGAAGCAGCCCAGGGCCACCTGCACCAGCTGGCAGGCAGGGGGTAGGGCAGTCACCATGAGCCGGTTGCTGTCCCTGCGCACGTAGCCCATCTTCTGGAAGCTCTTGAGGAGGAGGTCATCTGACAGCACACCCTTCAGCACGTGCACGTAGCCCCCGGAGAAGGTCTGCAAGAGAGCGGCCTGGTCAGAGGACCCCAGAGCACAGTGGGTCCAGGATCGTCGGCTCAAGCCTTGGCAGCTTCTCATGCTTGGGCCCGACCCCAGAAACTAGGGTTAGCCAGTCTGGGTCAGGCCCGAACATCAGAATTTCTTTTTTGTTGTTATCTGAGACGCCATCACTCTGTCTTCCAGGCTGGAGTGCAGTGGCTCGATCTCAGCTCACTGCTGCTTCTGCCTCCCAGGTTCAAGCAATTCCCCTGCTGCAGCCTCCCCAGTAGCTGGGACTACAGGCACCTGCCACCAAACACGGCTAATATTCATATTTTTAGTAGAGACAGGGTTTCACCCTGTTGGCCAGGCTGGTCTCGAACTCCCGACCTCAAGTGATCTGCCTGCTTCGGCCGCCCAAAGTGCTGGGTTTACAGGTCTGAGCCACTGTGCCCAGCCTAAGATTTCTTAAATATAATGGCAAAAACAACTAATACAAAACAGAGCCCCTATACTGAGAAATTTCATTGTCTTGGTTCCCTGCCGCTCTCTTTCACCCCTGGAGATGGCCTAATCTAATTGGTTTTGGATGTACCTGCCCAGGTGTTTGTTTTGCAACCACAAATATAGATTTTGGTTTGCCCCTCTTATGAGGTGCCCACCCCTTTTCTGGGTCTCTACCCAAAGCTAGAATAGGTAGCCTCTTAAACATACTGTTCTGAACTTTTTTCCCATTGCAGTCTTGCCGATCAGGACGGAAGCTCCACCCCTCATTTTTCCCCTGCTGCCCTGCTGTGCAGTATTCCACCACCTGGAGGCAACGTCCGTTTTCAGAGCTCTCCAGAGGCTGTCCTTGCTCTGGGCTGGCAGCTGTAACAGAATGGTGAGTGCTTTCTAGCCTACAGTTAGGTGAAGAACTAAAGGGGCGTCAGGACAATCACTGCCAGCGTCTTCTGAATGTAAAATTCCCTAACTCCAAGATACCCGGGACGCGGCCCACGTGCCAGCACCCAGTGCCTGCCGCACTGAGCCCAGGGCTTCCATTCATTCCTGCAGTCCCATGAACTGGACTGTCTTGTGTCCCTGTTTCAGAGGAGGAAAGAGGCTGAGAGAGATGACCTAACGGCCAAGGCCTCCCGGCCAGGAGGCGGCAGAACTAGGTCCAACCCAGGGGTGCCAGGCACTGAAGCCCGGGTCGTTCTCTCGCCCTGCCTGGGAGGCCTCAAAGGCAGGCCTGTCCTTCCCTCTCGTGAATGAGAGTCCAGCGGACCAGCAGGTGTCCCCGGGGAGCCGCGGAGAGATTGCCGCTGCCATGGCAACCGGTGGAGGCGTAGCTCGCCCACGTGCGCAGTGACGTCATCCGCTTCCTACTCTTCCGAATTAGCTCAGAGCGGGCGGCCCTGCCCCCTCCTGCCGCCAGGAGCTCACCTGGAGAGGCCAGGCCGGCCCCAGGCCAAGGAGTTCACCAGGTCTGTGCCCAGCCCTGCACCTTTACAGGGATACGCCCATCTGCAGTCCTCCCAGCCTCTGCAAATGGGAGTGGCCCATATCCTGGAGGAATCAGGATGACCGCGGGACCTCAAGTCCCTCCTGTGCCCCGGTCCCAAGATTCCCATGGCAGGTGGGGCCGCGAGGCTGCCTTAGGGAAGACACTGACGCACGCTCTCAAGCAGGACAAGCCTGCCCTCGCCCACCCATGTTCTCAGCCCTCAGAGTGGGTGCCCCAGCACGCCCACGACCCCTTGGCACTCTGAGCCTTGAGACGCCCACCGGGCACTAAGGACGCTGGAAGCCCCTCTCTCCCGAAAGGCGCGGTCTCCCACGACCCGCAGGCCAGGACGAGGGGCGCGCTTCCGCGGGCCGGCGCCTACCTTGATGGTGGTGAACTCCTTTCTCCAGGGCAGCAGGTACAGGTGCACAGCGGCCAGTTCCAGCAGCTCGAAGGCGCGGGCCAGGCCGCGCAGCGCGGGCGCCAGGTCGGCGCGGCCCCACAGCCCGTCGGTGAGCAGCGCCAGCGCGTCGTCCTGCAGCGCCCCGTGCAGGTCGAAGTCTTCCACCAGGATCTGCCAGAGCACCGCGCGCAGCGAGGGGTCCCCGCACACGCCCGCGCGGCCCCGTCGCAGCTCGCGCTCCAAGCACAGGCGGTAGTCCTCGGACAGCGAGCTGCTGCCCATCCTGCGGCGCGCGGGGGGTCAGGGACCTCAGGCCGCGCCCCCGCTCTCTCCGAGCCCCCGCCCAGCGTCCCCAGGACCCCCCGAGCCTGGAGACCCCGCCCCCACCGGCTGAGCGCCCCGGGTATCCTTGGCACCCCCTACCCTGGAGCCCCCGGGGCCATCTGCCCGCCCAGCCGGCGATCCGGCCCTCTCCAGCTGAGCGCCCCCGCACCCCCGCCCCCTCCGCAGCCGGGGGACCTCGGCCTTCCAGAGGCGCCTCGGTTACCGACCGCACCCTTCCCTAGAGACGCGCTTCCGCCCGCTGAGCCCTCTCCCGACCAGAGCCCCCTCGCCCGGCAGATGGAGCTGCGGAACTCGCGGGAGATGGAGCTACCTGTCCGTCCCCAGCGGTCCCCGGCAGCCACCGCTCAGTTCGGGGCTCCGCGTGCGCCGTGCGCTTCCGCCGGGAGTCGACTCCGCCCGGGGCCCGCGGCCTTGACGCCGGGGCCGGGGCTTGGCCAGGCCCCGCCTCCAACTAATTTAGAGGGGCGGGGCCTCCGCGCCTGGGCGGGGCCTGGTGAAAGCCGGAAGGAGGCGGTGTCCCGCCGGGCCGAGCACCTGCGCGAGGCGCCCTGCGAGCCTCCTCTCACCGCGTCGCCCGTCTCCCCACGGGACCCGTGTCTTTCACGACGCCCCAGGGCCGAGGGCTGCGGGCTCAGGGGAGGCGTTCCGTGAAGGTTGTGCCTGGGCCGCTCCTCCCTACGGGACAGGGACCAAGCCTCTGGCGTCCCGGCGCGGGGTAGCAGGTGCGTCGGCTTGTCCCCCTCCGGGGCGGGGCCACCTGCATTGCCTGCGGGGATTGGCTGGATCCTGGAAAGAGCCCTTTCCCCCTGGGCGGGGCCACGTGCATTACCTGCGGGGATTGGCCAGGCCCGGGGGCGGGCCTCTCCTACGGGG